GGTAAAAGCGCAAGATGGAGGCTCTCCTCCGCTCAGCAGTAACGCAACAGTGAAAATAATTATTCAAGATGAGAACGACAACGCTCCTCAGGTTCTGTATCCAGTACAGACTGGTGCTTCTGTGGTGGCTGAGATTGTGCCTCGTGCTGCAGATGTTGGATATCTGGTCACTAAAGTGGTGGCTGTTGATGTGGACTCTGGACAGAATGCCTGGCTCTCCTATAAACTACAGAAAGCTACAGACAGAGCGCTGTTTAAAGTGGGGTTACAGAATGGAGAAATAAGAACTGTGCGACAAGTGACTGATAAAGATGCTGTCAAACAAAAACTGACTGTTGTTGTGGAGGATAACGGACAGCCCTCTCGCTCAGCTGTCGTCTCCATTAACGTGGCTGTGGCTGACAGCTTTCCTGAAGTGTTGTCAGAGTTCACAGACTTTACGCATGAAAAACAGTATGACAAAAACCTGACATTTTATTTAGTTCTCGCACTGGCTGCTGTTGCTTTCTTATTTATCACTTGTGTGGTTGTCATAATATCAGTAAAGGTCTACAGATGGAGACAATCTCGCTTCTTATATCAGTCCAATCTGCCTGTTATTCCGTACTATCCACCGCATTACGCAGACACAGGAGTCACTGGAACTCTGCCGCACGGGTATAATTATGAAGTGTGCATGACGACTGACTCGAGGAAGAGTGACTGTAAATTTTCTACACTCGGTGGACAGAATGTCTTAGTGGTGGACCCGAGTTTTGCTGAGACAATACAGCGCACGATCAAGAAAAATAGTTCCATCGACGATCTCAGCTCTGCAGAATCGGTAAGAAAGGTTACGTTAGACTTTTAATATTATTATTATCATTATTATTATTATTATAATTATTAATATTATTAAATGTATTATTATTTATTAGCGGAAAAGACAAATAATATGGCTGCCCAAGTAGACCATAAACAAATAGGCTTGGAGAACTGTGCGATTGCGTGTTTTAGGTCGTGAATAAACAATTACTTATGTAACTTTTTTTTTTTTTTACTTTTCATTATAATACATGCATCTCGAACTTTTGCAGAAGTCACACTGTTTTCCTTATGTTGCGTATTACTAGTGTTGGTTCGAGCTATTCAAGATCGTATCATACAACTAACTAGAAAACTGTAAAGTTCGGCATTGGTGCATGTAAAGTTGATACGTTTGTTCGAAAAGGAAAAGAAACTCTTAAGTGTGCATGACGGTCACACAATTTGTTCTTGCAAATTTGTTCTTGCAAATTGTTTCATGTGTTGTAAGACTCAGAGAATTGTCCTCTTTTTCCCTCTTCTTTTTTCTATGTAGTCGAAATGGCGTTAGTGGTGGACCAATGAGTCACAATTAGATTGCATTGGGTTAAGCGTCGTATTTTTTATGTAGGCTGCGTGAAATAAATAAAAGAAGAATGTGAATAATTGGAAAATACGGAATTATTTTGGTACAATGCAGAGGCATTTTGACACCTTTCAGCACGACTTTTGTTGAACAGCGCCTCATGTGAAGTTGTCTGCTACTATTAAACAGAGGACTGTGATCTTCATTATGTTCTTTGATCGGAAGTATTATACTTTTGCTAAAATACCTCAAGGTTTATTCTTCACTTTTGCCTTTCTGGTTCCAAGTCATTTATTTAATCATCGGAGAATTCAGATGACTGGTTTTAAATGAGAGATAAATAGGCCTAGAAGACAGTAAATGCCGTTGCTAAAATTCTCTTTAGGCATAAATATATAAACCTGCTTTGCGATTCCTAATTTACACTCAGAGGGCCGCTGTTCGTCGACAAATGGAGGAGAAACTGTGTATTTGACAGACCCACCCCCAGCATCACATAATATCAGAGAGAAAGAAAGAAAAGCTACCGTCTCACTCAGATATTATTTTCTTGCACGGATTTTCTGTAGAAAACTCGTCGAGTGCATCCATAATTCAAGTCAATACAATTTCATTTAATTTTATAGGTTTAAAGGATACACTGATAAGTTGTTGTTTCTTATTCGATTATCGGTGCAATTGAGACAATGCCTGATGCAATGGTAAGACGCTTGGTGCTGTTTTTGACTCTTCTGGTTCACGTAGCGCGAGGACAAGTCAGTTACTCGATTCCTGAGGAAATGGAAAAAGGATCGATAGTGGGAAACATTGCGCAGGATTTGGGCTTGGATTTACAACGACTAAAGTCAGGAAAAGCGAGAATTTATTCAAGAGACAGTACGGAATACATTGAACTGAACAGAAACACTGGATCGCTGCTTAGCAGAGAGAAAATGGACCGCGAATCTCTTTGTGCAAAAACAACTCCTTGTGCTTTGCATATTCAAATGATTATGGAAAACCCAATGGAATTCTACACGATTACAATAGAAATCACGGATATCAATGATAACGCTCCTAGTTTCCAGAGAAAGGAATTTAGATTTGAGATCAGCGAATCGGCGGCGGCAGGTGCTGGTTTTATGCTCGGCAGAGCTTTCGATCCGGATGTAGGAACACATGCTCTTCAGAGATACTCGCTGAAACCGACTGATAGATTTCGGCTTGAATTGCACAATCAGGCAGACGGTAGTAAAAACGTCGAGATGATTTTACAAAACCCACTTGATAGAGAATCGCAAAGCTCACTTATTTTGTTGTTAGAAGCGTTTGGTGGAGGCGATCCGGTGCTCTCCGGCACTGTGCAGATACACATCACTGTGTTAGATATTAATGATAATGCTCCCGTCTTTACACAAAAAATATATAAAACCACAATAACAGAAAATGCAACAAAAGGTACTATATTAACAATGGTGAGCGCGTCTGATACAGACGAAGGATCCAACAGTGTAGTAACGTACTACATATCTGACACAGTGGAGAAAAATGTGGCCGAAATATTCTTAATTAATGAAAAAAGTGGTGAACTAATTTTAAATGGTCTGGTTGACTATGAAAAGGTGAGCCATTATGAAATTAATATCCAGGCAAAAGATCAAGGAGGACTATCTAATGCATGCAAAGTAATTATCGATGTTCTCGACATTAATGATAATTCGCCTAGTATTAATATTGTGTCGAATTCCCGTTCAATATCTGAAGGATCAAAGTCTGGTACTGTTGTTTCAGTCCTAAATGTTGATGATCTTGATTCAGGTGTAAATGGCCAGGTTCAGTGCGTCTTAAATGACGACATTCCCTTTTCTATTACTTTTCCCCTGCTAGCAATTTCGTCAGCTTGCAAACAGAGCAGGAATTGGACAGAGAAAGAGAAGCTGAGTACAATAACAGTGTAATATGTGCTGATGAGGGAGTACCAGCGCTCTCCAGCAGTGTCTCTCTCCGTGTGCAGATATCAGATGTTAATGACAATGCTCCTGTCTTTGAGAAAAGTCACTATGAGGCATGTGTGGTGGAGAATAACACACCTGGTCTCTCTATATTTACAGTTAAAGCCAGTGATGCTGATTGGAATCAGAATGCCCGTGTTTCTTATATTCTAGAAGACAGCACTGTTAATGGAGTCTCTGTCTCATCATATGTGTCAGTTCATCCTGACAGCGGACTGATTACAGCTGTGCGCTCTTTTGACTATGAACAACTTAAAGATTTCCACTTCCGGGTAAAAGTACAAGATGGAGGCTCTCATCCGCTCAGCAGTAACACGACAGTAAAAATTACTATTCAAGATCAGAATGACAACACTCCTCAGGTTGTGTATCCAGTAAAGACTGGTGCTTCTGTGGTGGCTGAGATTGTGCCTCGTGCTGCTGATGTTGGATATCTGGTCACTAAAGTGGTGGCTGTTGATGTGGACTCTGGACAGAATGCCTGGCTCTCCTATAAACTACAGAAAGCTACAGACAGAGCGCTGTTTAAAGTGGGGTTACAGAATGGAGAAATAAGAACTGTGCGACAAGTGACTGATAAAGATGCTGTCAAACAAAAACTGACTGTTGTTGTGGAGGATAACGGACAGCCCTCTCGCTCAGCTGTGGTCTCCATTAACGTGGCTGTGGCTGACAGCTTTCCTGAAGTGCTGTCAGAGTTCACAGACTTTACGCATGAAAAACAGTATGACGAGAACCTGACCTTTTATTTAGTTATTGCGCTGGCTGCTGTTTCTTTTCTATTTATTACATGTTTGGTTGTCATAATATCAGTAAAGATCTACAGATGGAGACAATCTCGCTTCTTATATCAGTCCAATATGCCTATTATTCCGTACTATCCACCGCATTACGCAGATACAGGAGTCACTGGAACTCTGCCGCACGGGTATAATTATGAAGTGTGCATGACGACTGACTCGAGGAAGAGTGACTGTAAGTTTTCTACACTCGGTGGACAGAATGTCTTAGTGGTGGACCCGAGTTTCACTGAGACGATGCAATGCGCAATCAAGGAAAATAACGGGTTGGAAAGTGAATATTCGACATCGGTAAGAACAATACTTTATACTTCACAAAACAAACAAAATCAAAATGTATGAAAAAAAACCCATCGTTAAACTAATTACATGAAACACTAATTTTAAACATTATTAACATTATCTTTTTATTATCTGTAGTTGTAATGCTAAAGTGTCTATTTAGATTAGGCCACTTTCAGCACCACATCGTGGACAGCGCCATAGTGTAGTCTTGCCAGGTTAAATTAGACAGTAAGGGTCAAACTATTTAGTTTCATTAGCTAAATCAAAACCATGCCAACAGAATAACTAGATTTTTAAAATAACATTGCTACTGCTGTTCTTTATTTTTATTTTAGTATTTTTCCACAAAAGTTTTGAAAAAACACTTTCTGCTAAATTTAATCTGTTGTGATTTTATTTGTAGTGCTCGTTTTAAACTCACAGGGACGCTGTTTGTCAATGTAGCACGTTGTCTGTGTGTATTTCTAACCCTGCACCATCATCCCATATTCACAGTGAGAGAGGAAAGGAGAAAACGCTTTCAGATCGCTTATTATCGTCAAGTGTCTTGAAACCAACGCGACATTTTGTACTTACGGTGATTAAAGTATTTTGAATGTACTATTTTCCCATTACAATACGCCTCTTCGAAATCGTTGGGAACCTTTTTTTTTCTCTCTCTGTGGTTTGTCGGTGATATCGAGGGAAAAAAATGCATTGTGTCGTGATATGGTATTCGGTATTGTTTTCCGTCGTCCTGCTTCATTCGGCACGAGGACAAGTCAGTTACTCCATTCCAGAAGAAATGACTAAAGGCTCAATTGTGGGAAATATCGCGCAGGATTTGGGCTTGGATTTACAAAGACTAAGGTCAGGAAAAGCGCGCTTATATACAGGCGACAGTACTGAATACATTGGTCTCAGTAAAGACACTGGCTTGCTGCTTATCAAAGAGAAAATGGATCGCGAGTCTCTTTGTGCAAAAACGACCCCATGCGCTTTGCATCTTCAGCTGATTTTGGAAAACCCCATGGAATTATACACGATTACGGTTGAAATCACGGATATAAACGATAATCCACCCACTTTCCAGAAAAAGCGAATTCAGTTTGAAATCAGTGAATCGGCTGCAACAGGCGCGAGATTCTTGCTGGAGGGAGCCGTGGATGCCGACGTAGGAGTTAATGATCTTCAAAGCTATTCTCTTAAACCAACTGATAATTTTGTCCTTGAACTGCACAGTCAGCCAGACGGTGATAAAAGCGTCGAAATGGTTTTGCAGAGATCACTTGATAGAGAAAAGAAAGTAGTGGTTACATTATTGCTAACCGCTTTTGACGGTGGTGATCCGCAGTTATCGGGAACTGTTCAAATAGATGTTACTGTACTCGATGCTAATGATAATGCTCCTGTCTTTACGCAAAAGGTATATAAAGCCATATTAACTGAAAATGCAGCGAAGGGGTTTAAATTGACCACATTCAGTGCCACTGACGCAGATGACGGATCTAATGGTCATGTGACATACTACGTTGCAAGCAAAGATGATATTGTGCGAAATATGTTTATTATTGATCAGCATAGTGGCGAGGTAACTTTAAATGGCTTCGTTGACTTTGAAAAGGCAAGTCACTATCAGATTGATATTCAGGCTAAAGATCAAGGGGGGCTTTCTGATTCCTGTAAGATGATTATTGATGTGTTGGACATTAATGATAACAAACCAGTGATAAGCTTACTCTCTATATCAAACTCTGTGTCTGAGGACTCCACGCCTGGAACAGTTGTTGCTATGATGAAAGTAGATGATACAGACTCAGGTGTGAATGGCCAGATTCATTGCACGATAAATGACAACATTCCATTTGCTCTTATATCATCATCCAGTAATTTCATCAGCCTGCGTATAGAGCAGCAACTGGACAGAGAGAGAGATGCTGAATACAATATCAGTGTCACATGCTCTGATCAGGGGGTGCCTGCGCTCTTCAGCAGTGCCTCTCTGTCTTTACAAATATCAGATGTGAATGACAATGCTCCTGTCTTTGAGAAAAGTCACTATGAGGCATGTGTGGTGGAGAATAACACACCTGGTCTCTCTATATTTACAGTTAAAGCCAGTGATGCTGATTGGAATCAGAATGCCCGTGTTTCTTATATTCTAGAAGACAGCACTGTTAATGGAGTCTCTGTCTCATCATATGTGTCAGTTCATCCTGACAGCGGACTGATTACAGCTGTGCACTCTTTCGACTATGAACAGCTGAAAGATTTCCACTTCCGAGTAAAAGCACAAGATGGAGGCTCTCCTCCACTCAGTAGTAACGCGACAGTAAAAATTACTATTCAAGATCAGAATGACAACACTCCTCAGGTTCTGTATCCAGTACAGACTGGTGCTTCTGTGGTGGCTGAGATTGTGCCTCGTGCTGCAGATGTTGGATATCTGGTCACTAAAGTGGTGGCTGTTGATGTGGACTCTGGACAGAATGCCTGGCTCTCCTATAAACTACATAAAGTTACAGACAGAGCGCTGTTTGAAGTGGGTTTGCAGAATGGAGAAATAAGAACTGTGCGACAAGTGACTGATAAAGATGCGGTCAAACAAAAACTGACGGTTGTTGTGGAGGATAACGGACAGCCCTCTCGCTCAGCTGTGGTCTCCATTAACGTAGCTGTAGCTGACAGCTTTCCTGAAGTGCTGTCAGAATTCACAGACTTTACGCATGAAAAACAATATAATGACAGCCTGACTTTTTATTTAATCTTGGCTCTCACAGTGGTCTCCCTGCTCTTCATAGTCTCAATTACTTTAATAATTTCAGTGAAAATCTACAGATGGAGGCAGAATAAGCTATTTTATAAATCTGGGGCAAATCTACCTGTAATTCCATATTACCCTCCAGTCTATGCAGACGGCACATTGCAGCATGTGTATAATTATGAAATGTGCGGGACCACTGATTCAAGGATGAGTGACATGAAGTTTATCAGGCCCTACAGTCAGAACACACTGGTGAGCCAGAGTCGTTTGGGAACAGTTCAGAGAGAAAAGAAGGAGCAGGAGGTTGACGACCTGACTTTAGAGGTGAGACCTTGTTTGATGTTTTAAAATCATCTCATCATCTCATGGAGACCAGAGAGTGTTGTACTTCTATAATGTGTGTTTCAGACCTTGATATCATGTACTCACTATTATCCTCTACAGTTTAAAGAGGTCACCCCCCTCACCCACCCATGACTTAAGAATTGCCAGAAAAAGAAAATATTACATGAATATGTAAATCATAAGCTAACAATTAACAATAAATAAACAGATCAGGCAGTTTGCATGTGCCTGTTAGTTACTCTCACAATTGTCTAAAATGTTCGCTCATACAGTGGATCCAAAAAGTATCTAGACACTTGTCAAAATTAAAAAAGCAAATGCTTTATAAAACAAAATATCAAAACAACTTGCATTTACATCAGTCAAAATATTTCACAAAATGTTCTTTCTTTAGTTTCAAAATATGAAGCAATAAATAAAAACCAGTCATCTAAATATGAAAGATAACATGTGTCAAAGTACAGTTCATTCTGTGAAGCATGCTAGCATAAGTTTGCTGAGTTTGCTTCTTTGCTCAGACATGATACTTAAAGTATTTATAAGGTGAATATTTTAAAATATTTTTTTTTTATGTTATATAAATTTAAAAAATTGTGCTGGATCACGTTATACGCATTTTGTAATTTAATATGCATTTATTTGATCACAAAATAAATTATAAACCAGAAGTGTTCTATAAGTAGTTTATATTTTTACTCAGAGTCTTACAAGTTATGTGCATAATACAAGTACGTAACGCATGATTTTATATATAGGATATTTCACTTTTTTTTTTTTTTTAATCCTTAATATTTATTTCCATTAAATGACTTTTGTAGTGCCGTATTTGGGCTCTAAGTGCCGCTGTTCAACCTATATTGCCTTTCTGGTGTGTGCTTTTAGCCCTCCCTTTAACGAAACCCAAAGCAATGGCATAATTCAGATAGGGATGCTACATAACAGACCACCATCAGATTCATTTCCAGGTTCTTTAACACGAACGAAGACGCAATTTGCTGGAAACATATTTAATCGCACATTTTGCTTTTTTGAATGCTTTTGCTCTGTCTTTGTTGATCAAAAATGGAGTCGGGAGGAAAAGGCTGGCGTTATGGGTCGTTATTCTTCTATACAGCGTGTGCGTTGGCTTTATTTTCCCCTCGCGTGACCGGACAGATTCGTTATTCTATACCTGAGGAAATGCCAGTGGGCTCGTTTGTTGGAAATATTGACTCGGACCTTGGGCTTGAGCCGAAGAGGCTGATTTCAGGAAAAGCGCGTGTTTTCACCGCAGACAGCAGTGAGTACATTGGACTGGATAAGGAGAATGGGCATCTGGTTGTTAAAAACAAAATAGACAGAGAAGAGCTATGCGGAGAGGTATCTGCCTGTAGTGTGAGTTTTGATGTCATTTTAGAAAATCCGATGGAGCTTTATCGAGTTAGTGTTGACATACAGGACATAAATGACAACAGCCCCGTCTTTCCGAAATCTAAAATCGAGCAAAAAATAAGCGAATTGGCGGTTTTAGGTGCGCGATTTCCATTAGAGAGCGCAATAGATCCAGATGTGGGAGTGAACACGCTACAGAAATATACTCTTCAACCCACCGATCATTTCAAGCTTAATGTTCAGAATGGCGCTGGTGGTAACAAAAACGTCGAGATGGTTCTTCATTCTCCTCTTGATAGAGAAAAGAAGCAGCATCATAATCTGATTCTAACCGCTTTAGATGGTGGAAAACCACAAAGGTCCGCAACTGTGCAGATTAATATCATTGTTCTAGATGTCAATGACAACGCACCTGTGTTTAGCCAGGCGTCTTATAAAACATCAGTTGTTGAAAATGCTCCTAAAACTACAATCGTGACTAAAATCAGTGCGACCGATGCTGACGAGTCTAGTCACGGCATTCAATATAATTTTGAGCACGTGACATATACGGTGAAAGCTTTGTTCTCCATAGATGCGGATTCTGGGGAGGTTAAAGTCATAGGCGATATAGATTATGAAAAACACAAGCAGTTTACAGTCAAAGTCAAAGCTTCAGATCACGGAGGTTTGACTGACTCGAGTGAAATAATTATTGACGTCATTGACGTAAATGACAACGCACCAAAAATTACAATAATGTCTTTTTCTAGTGCAGTATCTGAAGACGCAGCACCTGGAACTGTTATAGCAATGATAAATGTTCAGGATCTGGATTCAGGTGACAACAATAAGATTACATGTTCAATTGATTTAAACTCTCCATTTAAAATCGTATCCTCCTTAACTAATTATTACAACCTGGTGACAGACTCAGAACTAGACAGGGAACAAACAGCAGAGTATAATATCACTATAACTGCTGTAGATGGGGGAAACCCACCTCTTTCAAGTAAAGACATTTTTAACCTTAAGATATCTGATGTGAATGATCACACACCTCAGTTTGAGCAGGAATCATATAATGCCTTCATAGCTGAAAATAACCCTCCATCTACAACTATTCTGACTGTTAAAGCAATCGACATGGACTGGGGGCAAAATGCGAAGGTTTCATATTTTCTTATCGACGGAGATTTGAATGGAGCACCTCTGGCATCTTACATCTCCATAAATTCAGAGAGCGGTGTGATCTATGCAGAAAAATCCTTTGATTACGAACAACTGAAATCATTCAAAATGCAAGTCAAAGTGCAAGATGGGGGCTCACCCCTTTTATCCAACAACGTGACTGTAAACATTATAATCCAAGATGAGAATGACAACGCTCCTCAGGTTCTGTATCCAGTACAGACTGGTGCTTCTGTGGTGGCTGAGATTGTGCCTCGTGCTGCAGATGTTGGATATCTGGTCACTAAAGTGGTGGCTGTTGATGTGGACTCTGGACAGAATGCCTGGCTCTCCTATAAACTACAGAAAGCTACAGACAGAGCGCTGTTTGAAGTGGGTTTACAGAATGGAGAAATAAGAACTGTGCGACAAGTGACTGATAAAGATGCGGTCAAACAAAAACTGACTGTTGTTGTGGAGGATAACGGACAGCCCTCTCGCTCAGCTGTGGTCTCCATTAACGTGGCTGTGGCTGACAGCTTTCCTGAAGTGCTGTCAGAGTTCACAGACTTTACGCATGAAAAACAATATAATGACAACTTGACGTTTTATTTAATATTGGCTCTCGCAGTGGTCTCTCTGCTCTTCATAGTCTCAATTATTTCAATAATTTCAGTGAAAATCTACAGATGGAGGCAGAATAAACTATTTTATCAATCTGGGGCAAATCTACCTGTAATTCCATATTACCCTCCAGTCTACACAGACGGCACATTGCAGCATGTGTATAATTATGAAATGTGCGGGACCACTGATTCAAGGATGAGTGACATGAAGTTTATCAGGCCCTACAGTCAGAACACACTGGTGAGCCAGAGTCGTATGGGAACAGTTCAGAGAGAAAAGAAGGAGCAGGAGGTTGACGACCTGACTTTAGAGGTGAGACCTTGACTGATGTTTTAATATAATCTCATCAGACTTCATTTAATAAGAGCCCAGGGAGTATTGCAACACTTTTTGGTTTAATGTCTATAACTCAAACGTTTATGTCATTTTCCCACCTTTTCCCACTACAGCTTAAAGTTGTTTTGAAATCTCTGTCTTCTCCCTAAAAAAACTGTCAATAATTGGAAAAACAACATTGAACAAATGCATAAAAGAGAATAAGAATAAATAACAGACTGTGTGTGGGTTGCTCACTCTCACAGTTGTTTAATGAAGGGCTATACACTGTGTCGTTTTGTGCAGTTTTGTTAGTCTAGTAGAAGTACATTGGAAATGTATTTCTTTTTATTCATTTATATTTTAGTTGAATATTTTGAGGAGATATTATATATAAAATTAGACAAGAGTATCTGCTGAATTAGTTATGTTCTGTAAATTCTTCAGATTTTTAACACAATGTTACAAATGCTGCTCTCACCTCAGGAAGACGATGGTCTTGTATGATAGTGAATTCACCCCTGTATAAAATTAAAGGGATAGTTCACTCAGAAATTAGAATTCTGTAATTATTTACTCACACTCATGTAGTTTCCGAATCTATATGACTTACTTTTGTGGAACTTAAAAGAAAATATTTTGAGAAATGTCTCTTTTTTTGTTTTTATGCCCCTCTCTCTCTCTCTCTCTCTCTCTCTATATATACAGAATTTAAATTTGTAGGGGGAATATCCCTTTAATAAATAGTTAAACTAACAGTGTTACAACCCTGTACTACAACAGTACCCTGTTTGAGGTTCTCAGATTTATGAAGCATGTGTCACAATCCTCTTTCCCTTCTCACACTTTGATCTTTTAAGCTGTGGCATCTTATCAGAATGCATAACCTCATATATGGTTTCTTTAACTTTTTTTTAATTTATTTTTATTTAAGTCCTTGATAGTTTTTCTTTTCTTTTCTTTTCTTTTCTTTTCTTTTCTTTTCTTTTCTTTTCATAAAGTGGCCATTCCGTAGTACTGTATTTGGACTCTAAGTGCCGCTGTTCAACATAGTAAGCAAGTGTGTTTTTATCCCTCCCCTTAACAAAACCCAAAGCAATGGCATAATTTCACACATCATAAACGGCTAACCTTGGATGCTACGTAACAGATATCCAAATAACGTTCACCTTCGTTAGTTTCTTTAATCCACACGAAGACGCAATTTGTTGGAAACATATAATTCATAGCACATTTTCCTTTGAATGCTTCTGCTCAGTCTTTGTTGATCAAAAATGGAGTCGGGAGGAAAAGGCTGGCGTTATGGGTCGTTATTCTTCTATACAGCGTGTGCGTTGGCTTTATTTTCCCCTCGCGTGACCGGACAGATTCGTTATTCTATACCTGAGGAAATGCCAGTGGGCTCGTTTGTTGGAAATATTGCCTCAGATCTCGGGCTTGAGCCGAAGAGACTGATTTCAGGAAAAGCGCGTGTTTTCACCGCAGACAGCAGTGAGTACATTGGACTGGATAAGGAGAATGGGCATCTGGTTGTTAAAAACAAAATAGACAGAGAAGAGCTATGCGGAGAGATATCTGCCTGTAGTGTGAGTTTTGATGTCATTTTAGAAAATCCAATGGAGCTTTATCGAGTTAGTGTTGACATACAAGACATTAACGACCACAGTCCTGTTTTTCCGAAATCTAGAATTGAGCAAGAAATCAGCGAATTAGCGGTTCTAGGTGCGCGATTTCCATTAGAGAGCGCAATAGATCCAGATGTGGGAGTGAACACGGTACAGAAATATACTCTTCAACCCACCGATCATTTCAAGCTTAATGTTCAGAATGGTGATGACGGTAGTAAAAACGTCGAGATGGTTCTTCATTCTCCTCTTGATAGAGAAAAGAAGCAGCATCATAATTTGATTCTGACGGCTTTCGATGGTGGAAAACCACAAAGGTCCGCAACTGTGCAGATTAATATCATTGTTCTAGATGTCAATGACAACGCTCCCGTGTTTACCCAGTCGTCTTATAAAACATCAGTTGTTGAAAATGCTCCTAAAAGCACAATCGTAACAAAAGTCAGTGCAACAGATGCTGACGAGTCTAGTCACGGCATTCAGTACTATTTTGAGCACGCGACATCTATGGTCAAAGCTTTGTTCTCCATAGATGCGGATTCTGGGGAGGTTAAAGTCATAGGTGATATAGATTATGAAAAACACAAGCAGTTTAAAATCAAAGTCAAAACTAAAGATCACGGAGGTTTGACTGACTCGAGTGAGATAATAATTGACGTCATTGACGTAAACGATAACACGCCCAAAATTACAATAATGTCTTTTTCTAGTGCAGTATCTGAAGACGCAGCACCTGGAACTGTTATAGCAATGATAAATGTTCAGGATCTGGATTCAGGTGACAACAATAAGATTACATGTTCAATTGATTTAAACTCTCCATTTAAAATCGTATCCTCCTTAACTAATTATTACAACCTGGTGACAGACTCAGAACTAGACAGGGAACAAACAGCAGAGTATAATATCACTATAACTGCTGTAGATGGGGGAAACCCACCTCTTTCAAGTAAAGAAATTTTGAACCTAAAGCTATCTGATGTGAATGATCACACACCTCAGTTTGAGCAGGAATCATATAATGCCTTCATAGCTGAAAATAACCCTCCATCTACAACTATTCTGACTGTTAAAGCAATCGACATGGACTGGGGGCAAAATGCGAAGATTTCATATTTTCTTATCGACAGAGATTTGAATGGAGCACCTCTGGCATCATACATCTCTATAAATTCAGAGAGTGGAGTGATATATTCAGAAAAATTATTTGATTACGAACAACTGAAATCATTCAAAATGCAAGTCAAAGCTCAAGATGGGGGCTCACCCCTTTTATCCAACAACGTGACTGTAAACATTATAATCAAAGATCAGAATGACAACGCTCCTCAGGTTCTGTATCCAGTACAGACTGGTGCTTCTGTGGTGGCTGAGATTGTGCCTCGTGCTGCAGATGTTGGATATCTGGTCACTAAAGTGGTGGCTGTTGATGTGGACTCTGGACAGAATGCCTGGCTCTCCTATAAACTACAGAAAGCTACAGACAGAGCGCTGTTTGAAGTGGGTTTACAGAATGGAGAAATAAGAACTGTGCGACAAGTGACTGATAAAGATGCGGTCAAACAAAAACTGACTGTTGTTGTGGAGGATAACGGACAGCCCTCTCGCTCAGCTGTGGTCTCCATTAACGTAGCTGTAGCTGACAGCTTTCCTGAAGTGCTGTCAGAGTTCACAGACTTTACGCATGAAAAACAATATAATGACAGCCTGACTTTTTATTTAATCTTGGCTCTCGCAGTGGTCTCCCTGCTCTTCATAGTCTCAATTATATCAATCATTTCAGTGAAAATCTACAGATGGAGGCAGAATAAGCTATTGTATAAGTCTGGGGCAAATCTACCTGTAATTCCATATTACCCTCCAGTCTACGCAGACGGCACATTGCAGCATGTGTATAATTATGAAATGTGCGGGACCACTGATTCAAGGATGAGTGACATGAAGTTTATCAGGCCCTACAGTCAGAACACACTGGTGAGCCAGAGTCATATGGGAACAGTTCAGAGAGAAAAGAAGGAGCAGGAGGTTGATGATCTGACTTTAGAGGTAAGATTCTCATAAGTGCTCATTGCAACAGCAGGAGTTTAAAAGCTTGAAGTGCATGCTGTACTCTACTTTCATTTTTTATTTTATTTTTTTAAGATAAACAGCAAGTAATTTACTTTAAAAACCTTATATGTTAGCAGAGGTTGATATGTATTGTTTTGTTTTGTTTTGTGAAACTAGACTGCTAGTTCAGTTTCTCAAACACGTCACAATATTGGTGCACAGTGAATACTATTCCACCCACACACGCTCTGATACTCAGTGTTGACACATTTTATCTTTCTCAGGCTTTCATGAAGAGATTATGTGACATTTATTTAAATATACAGCAATACATGCAATACAATTTTATTACAATGCAAAACATTAAACATTTTTAGTTTTGTGTGGCCACTTTAATACAAAATTGAATACAACATAAAAAAGGAGTTACACTTCTGTGAGATTTTGACGGGTAATTCCGTCATGCAGTTGTCCAGGCTTTAGCTGGATTTGCCATAATAATAGCTTCAATGACTGCTGTTTTTATACTTTTCCCTGTTCAAGTGATTCCATGGAGCTGCAGTTATGTATCAGTATGTCAGGGCTCTATAATACTGCAAATATTCCTCTGCCGTTGCAGCTATTTTTGTGTTGTGATTTCTGCATGTTTAAAACATTGAGGTGTTTTCTAAAAAGGCATTGATTGATACAGAATATGTGCATTTTTACCACATTTATCAGTTTTGAACATGTGCTACATTATCTGAAACACAATCAAAATTACTCATTAGGTCATAGTACTGTCCATAATCTGTATCAATTCAATTCAATTCAAGTCAAGTTTATTTGTATAGCGCTACCACGGGATGTCAGTCCCGTGGCAGAAACAGAGAAACAAATAGAGACATAAATAGCGTAGCTGCTGTTCCAACCAAGGAAAATTAATTTGTTTAACCCAAGCTAAAAAATAATAATGCGCATTTGATCAGATATAACTGCAGTACAAGATTATGAGATGCATTATTTGAATGCTTGGCCAAAGAGATGTGTCTTTAATCTAGATTTAAACAGAGAGAGTGTGTCTGAACCAGAACCAAATATGCCTGTATCAGAGACAGGCATATTTCTGTCATCAACTGTTTTTCAGATTTATGATAGCCTATTACATTATGAAAACCCAGTTTTGGTGGGCTTTTTAATGCAAACTGTGTTGTTATAAGAGTGTGAAGTTGAATGAAGTGTATAAAATGAGGATATCAAATACTCAATTTACTGCTTGGATTTTCTTTCAGTCTCTGTCAATCAAGTCTCTCTGTCCCTCAGTGCTGAATATAAATCCTGCACAGTGAGCTCTTGTGTGTTATATTGAGAGATACTCATTGCATGCTGCTACAAACTGTCTTTATATGGGAGGGGAAAAAAACAGAAATAACAAACCCTTGCTTCTATCCAAGCTTAAACAGTTACTTATTTCCTATGGAAAGTAAAGGACTGAATGAGCTATTCCTCTGAAGATTTCTGCTTTGCTGTCAGTACCATCATTGTGTATTTAATGCATCCAAATTTTAAATCATCCCCCTTAATCCTCTTAAAGATTCATGATGAGCATCATAGGGCAATTTTACTGATATTACTGCTGCTAAAGGTGTGGGTTCTGCATTAAGCTCTTACAGAAGCTGGGAGTGGCTTCTCTGCAGTGAGCGTGCAGCCAGATATCTGAAACACCATCCAACATCAAATGTGTGTCACAGCTGTAGCACTAATCCTGTCTCTAAGGTCCACTGCCCAGTTCTCATAAATATTACATTTATATTGAAAAAAGAAAAACAATGCCTTGTGGTGTCATTTACCATATGCCAAAAAAAATGTATGTTTCCCAGTTTAGTTGCAGAAAAGTGTAAACTGTAAAACACATTCATATAGTACAATGCATACTTTTGTTTACATTTAATAATTTAAAATTTTAGCTTGAATGATTTCAAAATGGGAGGGGGGATCACAAACAAAATACAGAAGAGTGAACTAGTGTAGTAATTTGTTTATCATAGTGACCTCTTCCTTTGCAGTAAAATGGTGTCCTCACATTACCAACAACTATTTAGTACATAAAGTGATCAGTGCAGATGTACTACAGTGCATTTTTACATCAAATTAGAAGTGAAGGATCAATATGAGTAAAGCTCAGACAGCACATGAGATCTGTGCTGGTGTTTGTGAGAATGCTGACTCTCAGCCAGGGGGGAAGGAGGGGCCTTTTCTCTCTGCAGTGAGATTCTTTGTCCTGTTTTTGCCTCCTCAAAGCTGCTTGTGTCTGTATGTGCCTACATACGAGCTACAAACAGTGATACTGTCAATGTCAAAAATTGTATATTTGTTATTTTAGGGCACACATATTTGCAGGTCCTTACATATGTAATATAAAGGTTTACATGCAGTGCTTAAAAAATTAAGCACAGAGTGCCTCTTATTTTATTTTCCTTTACATGCTTGCTTCTGTTTATTCGGACAGCTTGAACACAACCCACACCACCTACAGATATGCATATCCATACACTCTCTTTCTCTTGTCCCTTGACAACATGCGTTTCTATGACAACAGACTGAGCCAGGCCATTCCATTTCTTCCTTAGGGGGGTGAGGGCTTGTCCATGTTGTTTGTGTGTAATGGGGGACTCTTGAAGTCAAAGAGTCAGTATACCCCCCTTTCTGGCTCTCCCATGCTCCCTCTTGCGCTCAGTAGAAGTGTTTACCATTGTAAGGGTCACCATTATCAATATAGCTTATTTGTTGTAGTTTTTTTGTTTGTTTGTTTTTGTTTTTTAAATTGTACATATTGCACAGTTACCATTGGTAAAAGGATTGATTTTGGCATTTGTTGTGATTGCATACTGCTCATCCTCTTCTCCTTTAGAAGCAGAGATGATAAAACATCTATTCCACCCACAAATAATTATGATTAAAATATAATAATTGATGTATAAATAGTAATATATATATATATATATATATACACTAAAAATACTAACCATGTTTTTGTCTCTTTTTTCTCTCTTCACTTTTGTCTGCTACATTCCACCTCTTCACCTGGCTTTCGCCAACAAAGGTAAGAACAAATTCCCTTTTCTGTTAAAAATGTGTTAATGCCTCTGAAATGCAATGCTTAGTACATATGAACAGTGTCAACGTTTTCTTATTAAATTTTAATTGGAGGAGGCAAATATGTTGTTTTTTTCATATGTAGGGTACAATTGTGCTCAATGCACGTTTGATATTTCTCTCTAAATGATAAACAACAACATCAACACTTGTTTGTTACTATACGCACTGCCAAAAACTTTGTGCAACTAACGAAAATCCCTGAAATGATGATAAAATATTTTAGACAAAATATGTGTTATGATTTTTAGCTGTTCAGTGTAATTCAATATTACATTTTATTACATAAATATTGTATTGCAATATCAAATATAGTTGCATATTGTGACAAACTTTTATTTATCACTACTGCCCCATTATCAATATAGTCTGCCCTGGGGCCTTATGCACAGGATGGGGGGCCTTTATCTACAATGATAGGTGAAAGACCTGTCTAGCTGCCTTTATATTTACTGTATTTTGAATTACACTGTCAGTTAAAATGAAATAAAGAGTAATAATATGACTGTCATATTCATTGAAAGGGGGCTTTTAGCCCTGTTGTACCCAAATGTGTTTGCCTAATATGTTAGCCAGATGTGTATTGCCATTTTGATTCCAAATGCAACACATGAACAACACTCATAGTACAAAGTCCAGTGTCTGGCACACTGTCAGTGCAAAAAACGCAATAACAGAGGAAAAATGTTTTTGTAGCAAAACTGATGCTGTTACAACGAGAAAAAAAAAAACAGGTAAGTAAACAGCTTTATTCTGGATGTTTATTCAAACATCAATTTCTTCTGATGATCCCAATCGACGTAAAAATATTTTTCAGTGGACCTCATGCTGACGTAAGTATTTTGCGAAGATAAAAAGACAAACAGCTTTCCATGTATGGAAAGCTTGGATATAGTGGTTTCTTTTTTCTGAGCATACAAGTGCAGCTGCAGGAATAGCCCGCCTGTGTGGCGCTGTCCACTCAAGTGGTGCTGAAACGCTCACTTCACTCTGGCTGCTTGCGGTCTCCCCCTGCTCATGGTTGAGTCCTTTTTTGCAAGAGGATCATGCAGTAATGTACGGATAAAGAGCATTTGAACCACTAATATGAATGTTAATGTAATTATTTTACTTTTAAAGACGATAATTATAACAAAACGTTAATATTTCTAAAAATGGCAGTTGATCTTATTAAAATGTAGAATCATTATGCGCTTTCATTAATAACCTCCACACAAAGCAATGCACGCACCTGCTCAAACGTCGGTACTCCTGCGCTTATCTCTGTCGCCACATGATGGCACACGCTCATATTATTTTTAAAGCAGTTCTGTTTTAGATAATAGAAGCGCACACACAATAGACACACACACACACACACACGATAGAGTATAGTAGAAGATAATCTTCATCATCATAGATAAAAACAATATATGTATTAATTAAAAAAAAAAAAAAATTATTATTATTATTATTCATATTTTAATCTCTTATTTTTAGACATGTAGTGGCACTGAATCACTCTAAATCACTTTGACTTGCCTTACTCGTACTAGCCCTTTAAGATATTTTAAGAATTTGATTGGTTGAAGATAAATGTACAGTCGACCAATGAGGTACAGACTTAGACAAAGAGATCCACTCCCTCCCACTGCTGTGGCTGAGCTCTTTCTGAGCTCTGAGCACAGCGAACGCATGAAATACTCATTTCTATCAAAAGGACCTCTTACACTTAATAGGAATATGCAATCAATATACTTTCTGGGATTATGTCATTTTGAATATTTTGAAATCTTGAGAAAACGTTGATAAATCGTCAAAAGCTTGGAGCTTTTGAGATGATGGAATGTCTATTCGTTTTGAAGAGAATTTGGTGGTGCTGTGTCTTTATTCTTCCTTGGAGTACAATAGAGGCGCAGATTCGATACACAATTCCAGAAGAGCTAAGAGAAGGATCTGTGGTCGGAAATATCGCTAAAGACCTCGGTTTGGATTTATCTAAGATTATAGATCGTAAACTACAAATAGCAACTGAGACTGGTAAGCAGTATTTCGCCGTGGATGTGGAAAAGGGTGATCTTATTGTGAATGAGAGAATTGATAGAGAGGGTTTATGTGGATACAATGTCCCGTGTGTTTTGCCTCTTCAAGCCGTTTTAGAGAATCCTCTGCAGATGCATCGGGTTGAGATTGAAGTACAAGATATTAATGACAACACGCCCAATTTTAAATCTAATGAGCGTATATTAAATATTCCAGAGTCTATTAATTCAGGAGCAAAATTTCTCTTAGAGAGCGCTATTGACTCAGATGTACAGTCCAATTCTTTAAAATCATACAGTCTGAGCAATAATGAACATTTTGTTTTGAACGTGAAAACTCAAGATGCAGTCAAAATTCCAGAATTGGTACTAAAACAACCTCTTGATCGAGAAAAACAGGCTGTTCATAAGTTAATATTGACAGCAGCTGACGGAGGGAATCCAGTGCGCACGGGTACATGTGAGATCACTGTTGTCGTTTTGGATAATAATGACAACGCTCCTGAATTCGAGAAACCATTTTACGAGACTGTTGTTGATGAAAACGAATCGAGTCATAAAGAAATTATAAGAGTCAAGGCTATAGATTTAGACGAAGGGTTAAATGGAGAGATTGAATATTTCTTTGCAGACCAAACATCAGATACAGCATTGTTTAATATTAATCGACAAACTGGTGTCATCACAGTTAAAGGACAGCTGGATCATGAAAAAGCAAGCCTACATAAATTTGATATAGTTGCAAAGGACAAAGGAAATCCTCAAATGGAGGGCCACTGCAGTGTAAAGATAAAGGTTAATGATGTAAATGACAACGCACCTGATATAATCATTACTTCCCTCTCAAGTCCGATTCCTGAGAACTCCTCAAATGGCACTGTCGTTTCTTTAATTAGTACAAAAGATGCAGATTTAGGAGAGAACGGTAAAGTTAAACTTACGTTGGCCCCTGGAACACCGTTTAGATTAAACCCTACAGCTTCCAATCATTACGTACTACTTACCAACGGTCCTTTAGACAGAGAGACTTATTCTGAACATAAAATTGAGCTGAAAGCAGTTGATGCCGGTTCACCACCGCTATCTAGTGGAAAAACAGTCACAATCGGAATCTCAGACGTAAATGACAATCCTCCAATGTTCGCTGAGAAGTCGTACACGGTTTACGCTAAAGAAAACAGCGCTCATGACTCAATATTGTGCTCAGTCTCCGCCCATGACCCAGACTTAGGCGAAAATGCCAAAATCTCCTACTCCATTTTGGACTCTAAGGTTCAGGACGTTTCTGTATCTTCTTATATCTATATAAACTCAGAAAACGGAAGTATATTTAGTATGCAGTCATTTGACTACGAGAAAATCAAAGTGTTTCAGATCCTCGTTCAAGCTAAAGATCATGGCTCTCCATCTCTGAGCAGCAACGCCGCCGTTCATGTGTTTATTTCGGACCGGAACGACAATGCACCTGCTGTCATTTACCCGTCCACATCCATGGGGTCTGTCTCTCATCAGAGAATGCCCCGTTCTGCTAAAGCAGGACATCTCGTTACTAAGGTAACAGCAGTGGACGCGGACTCGGGTCATAACGCCTGGCTGTTCTACAGGCTCGCGGAGGCCACGGACGCGTCTCTGTTCAGTGTCAATTTACATACAGGAGAGGTGAGGACTAAACGCACTGTTTCAGAGCACGACGACTCCTCTCAGAGACTGCTGATAGAAATAAAGGATAATGGAGAACCGATCCAGTCCACCACAGTCACAGTGGAAATACTGATAGAGGACAGCTTTCATGAGCCCATCTCAGACTATAGAGAGAAAACTATTGAGCCCAACAAAAAAACTGGCAAAATTACATTATATCTGATCATCTCTTTGGCTTCAGTGTCCTTGTTGTCTTTGGTGACGTTTTTCATCTTACTGGTGAAATGTGCACGAGGCAGTAGAAGCTGCTGTATCAGGAGGACAAACTCTGAATACAAGAACCCCAACAGAAACCTGCAGATCCAGCTCAACACTGACGGGCCCATTAAGTATGTGGAGGTTCTGGGAGGAGACATGATGTCTCAGAGTCAGTCCTTTGGCTCCTATCTCTCTCCAATGTCAGAATTCAGTGATCTCACCCTCGTTAAACCCAGCAGCACCACAAACTTTACAGACACACTAAACGTGCTTGATGCGTCATTACCAGACAGCGCGTGGACGTTTGAGAGCCAACAGGTGAGCGCGTGAGATTTTGTATAATATTTTGTATATATTATTAGTTTGCATAATAATATTATTTTGAATATTACAGTTGGCACTACTAATGTCATACGTAGGTGACATTAATTACTCTATCCACATTACAACTTTCATAATCAATAAAAGTAACACTACATTTACATTAAAAGGGCTAGAGCTTTGCAGTGTTAATAGCTTTGATAAAAATGCAATGTTTTGATCATGGAAGCTGGTGATCAAACATTCATACCGATCTCTACACTGATACTTGATACTTTAATGAATGGATACACTCTTCGTTTTGTCATTTGATCCGAATATCATATTCGTATAGAATATACGTGAGATTTAGTCAGTCGAAACAGATGAATTTATCTAAATTGTCTCAGGAAAATAGTGATTAGTGACATTGTATTGTGTTGAATATCGAATTTTGTGTATATTTGTTAATGTAAGGTTTGTGGGCATGTTTTTAGAAAATTTGGAGTAAAAATATCGTTTTTATTTTGAAGTAGAAATAAATAAATACAAAAAAACATATACTGATTGTTGAAAAACAATGGTTGTTTCAATGTAAAGTGAGCTATGAAACAACTGTATATATTCTGCATAGGTGTTGAGCTTGGCTTTGCTCTGCCTCTTTAAGACTGATTCATGTTGTGACTGGAGAGCGCTCGTCCAATAACAGGACCGCACTGCACAAAGGGATCTACTCCCTCCCCCGACATAATAATGCGAACCATTACGCACAGACCTGAGACAAAATCCACTGCACTCGCTGCAATGTATTAAACAACGGAATATAATATGCATTTCTATACATTTTAAAATGTTACGTTATTTTCATGAAGGCTTATAGTCGTAAAATGAATGTCAGGATATTGGAATTAACAATCATTTGTCGTGTTTGGAAATGACTCAAATACAAAGGAGATTTTTGCTTTGGCGGGCGCTGTGGCTGTTGTGTTTCGCTGTTTTGTGGAGAGATACAAAGGCGCAGCTTCGTTATACAATACCGGAGGAGCTGAAGGAGGGATCTGTTGTTGGAAATGTAGCTAAAGATCTCGGTTTGGATGTATCTGAGATATCTAATCGTAAAGTACGGATAGCATCTGAGTCTGGTAAGCAATATTTCAGCCTGAATTTGCGGAACGGCGAGCTGCTTGTGAATGAAGTAATAGACAGAGAAACACTGTGCGGACAAAGCGGGAGTTGTGTGTTACCAGTGCAAGTCATTATCGAGGATCCACTCCAGTTTTATCGTGTCGAGGTGGCCATACAATATTATTGATGTCATTATGTGCAAACACGAATTATTCTAACCACTTTACAATTTACAAATTCACAAACATATTTGCACCATCGATCTAATGCACAAACAGTGCAATTTTTGTTTTTTGTTTTTTTAATATGGAACTTGTAAATAATACTTTAACACTTACTTAATAATAGAATAACACTTAAAAGCGATATTCATGTGCTACATATTTGAGCGTCCATATGCTTATATGCAGCATCTCCATAAAGATTACCTTTTTTTAAAAAATACTGATTTCAGTTTTGCAGTATAGTCTTTCTAAATATCCCATTTATCTGCATTTGCTTTTAAAACGAGTAATTGTGGAGGAAAATAGTCGTTTCAATGCAACATAAAAGAACTGTATTTATTCTGCATGGGTGTTGAGCTTGGCTTTGCTCTGCCTCTTTAAGACTGATTCATGTTGTGACTGGAGAGCGCCCTTCCAATAACAGAACCGCACTGCACAAAGGATCTACTCCCTCCCTAGACATAATACTGAGAACCATTACGCACAGACCTGAGACAAAATGCACTGCACTCGCTGCAATGTATTTAGCTACGGAAATTAATCTGGGATTCTATAAATTTTACTTTTTTAAAAATATTACACTCTTTTTGTAAAGGCTTATAGGCGTAAGATGAATGTCAGGATACTGGAATCAACGATTATTTATCGTGTTTGGAAATGAGGACTCAAATACAAAGGAGGATTTTGCTCTGGCGGGCGCTGTGGCTGTTGTGTTTCGCTGTTTTGTGGAGAGATTCAGAGGCGCAGCTTCGTTATACAATACCAGAGGAGCTTAAGGAGGGATCTGTTGTTGGAAATGTAGCTAAAGATCTCGGTTTGGATGTATCTGAGATATCTAATCGTAAAGTACGGATAGCATCTGAGTCTGGTAAGCAATATTTCAGCCTGAATTTGCGGAACGGCGAGCTGCTTGTGAATGAAGTAATAGACAGAGAAACACTGTGCGGACAAAGCGGGAGTTGTGTGTTACCAGTGCAAGTCATTATCGAGGATCCACTCCAGTTTTATCGTGTCGAGGTGGCCATACAAGATATTAACGACAACTCTCCAATATTCTTGTCGGAAATAAACACAATTGAGGTGCCAGAGTTAACATTAATTGGAGCAAGATTTCGTTTGGAACCTGCTCAAGATCCTGACGCTGGAACGAACTCCGTGCGCACATATGCGCTTAATAAAAATGAACATTTCGCTATGTTCATGAACATTAAAACCGATAAGGATGGAACAAAAGTCCCAGAAATAGTTTTAGAGAAAGCTGTCGACAGAGAAAAACAGTCTGTACACCATCTAATTTTGACAGGTATTGATGGAGGTGATCCAGCGAGGTCTGGAACTATGCAGATTTCTGTGAAAATTGTTGATGCAAATGACAATGCTCCCGTATTTGAACGGGAGTTATATGAGGTTAAAGTTATGGAGAGCACTGTCCCGGGTACAATGATACTGCCTGTAAAAGCTATTGACTTGGATGATGGTGTAAACGGTGAGGCTGAGTATTCATTTGCGGCACATACACCTGGAATAATTAAAAATTTGTTTGCTATTAATCCTGTGACAGGTGAGTTAGTCGTTTCCAAGCATCTCGATTATGAAACAAGCTCCTCATATAAAATTGACATACGTGCCAGAGACAAAGGATCATTTGCAATGGAGGGACACTGTACAATCCAAGTAACTGTTTTGGATGTGAATGATAATGCACCTGAGATTATCATCACCTCCTCACCCAAACCTGTGCGAGAAGATGCGCCCGCTGGGACTATGGTAGCCTTAATAAATGTTAAAGATTTGGATTCAAGCGTAAATGGAAACGTAACACTTAGCATGTCACAGGGCACTCCTTTTAAATTAAAGCCAACGTTTTCAAACCATTACGCGCTGGTGACAGATTCACAATTAGACCGAGAAGAGTTTCCTAGGTATGACATTGAGCTAAAAGCATCAGACTCTGGATCACCTCCACTGATATCCAGCAAACTCATTACAGTTAGTATACTAGATGTCAATGATAACCCTCCTGTGTTTTCTGAACGTGTGTACTTGGTTTATATTAAAGAAAACACCGCTCCGGGATCAATTTTATCATCAGTAACAGCATCAGATCGAGATACGGGAGAAAATGCCAAACTTGTCTATTCAGTTATCGATACTAATACTCAAGGCGTACCCGTCTCTTCGTATGTTTATATAAACTCTGAAAATGGTAGTATATTTAGCATGCACTCATTTGACTACGAGAAAATGAAGGTGTTTCACATCATCGTGATTGCTAAAGATCATGGCTCTCCATCTCTGAGCAGCAACGCCACCGTTCATGTGTTTATTTCGGACCGGAACGATAATGCACCTGCTGTCATTTACCCGTCATACGGGAGAGGTGAGGACTAAACGCACTGTTTCAGAGCACGATGACTCCTCTCAGAGACTGCTGATAGAAATAAAGGATAATGGAGAACCGATCCAGTCCACCACAGTCACAGTAGATATACTAATAGAGGAAGGCGTTCATGAGACAATCTCGGATTATAGTATGAAAACTACAGAAAACAACAACAACAACAACAAGAAAAGCGGCAAAATCACTTTGTACTTGATAATCTCTTTGGGCACCGTGTCACTTTTATCTATGTTGACATTATTTACGTTGATGATAAAATGCGTTAGAAGCAGCATCGGGAGTTCTAGTTGCTGTATCAGGAGGACAGATTCTGAATACAAGAACTCCAACAGAAACCTGCAGATTCAGCTCAACACTGACGGACCCATTAAGTATGTGGAGGTTCTGGGAGGAGCGCACTGCACAAAGGATCTACTCCCTCCCTAGACATAATACTGAGAACCATTACGCACAGACCTGAGACAAAATGCACTGCACTCGCTGCAATGTATTTAGCTACGGAAATTAATCTGGGATTCTATAAATTTTACTTTTTTAAAAATATTACACTCTTTTTGTAAAGGCTTATAGGCGTAAGATGAATGTCAGGATACTGGAATCAACGATTATTTATCGTGTTTGGAAATGAGGACTCAAATACAAAGGAGGATTTTGCTCTGGCGGGCGCTGTGGCTGTTGTGTTTCGCTGTTTTGTGGAGAGATTCAGAGGCGCAGCTTCGTTATACAATACCAGAGGAGCTTAAGGAGGGATCTGTTGTTGGAAATGTAGCTAAAGATCTCGGTTTGGATTTATCTGAAATATCTAATCATAAATTACGGATAGCATCTGAGTCTGGTAAGCAATATTTTAATCTGAATTTGCGGAATGGCGAGCTGCTTTTGAATGATATTATAGACAGAGAAACCCTGTGCGGACAACGCGCGAGTTGTGTGTTACCAGTGCAAGGCATAATCGAGGATCCACTCCAGTTTTATCGTGTTGAGGTAGACATACAAGATATTAACGACAACTCTCCGAGTTTCCTTTCAGACACAAAAATTATTGATGTATCAGAGACCACGCTAGCCGGAGCTAGATTTCATTTAGAGCCTGCGCAAGACGCAGATGTAGGGTCAAACTCTTTGCGAACGTATGCTTTAAATAAAAATGATTATTTTGTCTTACATGTTAAAAATGACAAAGATGGAACTAAAGTCCCAGAAATTGTTTTACAGAAAGCACTTGATAGAGAAAAACAGTCTATACACCATCTGATTTTGACAGGTATTGATGGAGGTGATCCAGCAAGATCTGGCACCACTTAGATTACTGTTAAAGTGTTGGATGCGAATGACAATGCTCCGGCATTTGAACAAGATTTATATGAAATTAAAGTGACGGAGAACTCTGCTCCAGGTACAGTCATTCATATAGTAAAAGCAATTGACTTAGACGATGGAGTAAATAGGGAAATAGAGTATTCGTTAGGATCTCTCACACCAGAAGCAATAAAGCAATTATTTTCAATTGACTCGGATACTGGCCAATTAACCATATCAAAGAGTCTTGACTATGAAATGAGCTCCACGTATAAATTCGACATACGCGCCAGAGACAAAGGAGCACCTGTAATGGAGGGATATTGTAGAGTTCAGGTGAATGTTTTAGACGTGAATGATAATGAACCTGAGATCACCATCACCTCCTCACCCAAACCCGTGCCAGAAGATGCGTCCGCTGGGACTATGGTAGCGTTAATAAATGTTAAAGATCTAGATTCGGGGGTAAACGGGAACGTAACGCTTGGCATTTCACCTGATACCCCATTTAAATTAAAGCCAACATTTTCAAATCATTATGCACTAGTAACAGATTCACAATTAGATCGAGAAAAGTTTCCTAGCTATAATATTGAGCTAAAAGCCTCAGACGCTGGATCACCTCCACTGGTATCTAGCAAACTCATTACAGTTAATATACTAGATGTCAATGATAACCCTCCTGTTTTCTCTGAACGTGTGTACTCGGTTTATATTAAAGAAAACACCGCTCCGGGATCAGTTTTAGCATCAGTAACAGCATCAGATCTAGATACAGGAGAAAATGCTAAAATTGTCTATTCAGTTCTCGATACTAATACTAAAGACGTACCCGTCTCTTCGTATGTTTATATAAACTCTGAAAATGGCAGTATATTTGGCATGCACTCATTTGACTACGAGAAAATGAAGATCTTTCACATCATTGTGCTTGCTAAAGATCATGGCTCTCCTCCTATGAGCAGCAACGCCACAGTCGACGTGTTTATCTCGGACCAGAATGATAATGCACCTGCTGTCATTTACCCGTCCACATCCATGGGGTCTGTCTCTCATCAGAGGATGCCCCGTTCTGCTAAAGCAGGACATCTCGTTACTAAGGTAACAGCAGTGGACGCGGACTCGGGTCATAACGCCTGGCTGTTCTACAGGCTCGCAGAGGCCACGGACGCGTCTCTGTTCAGTGTCAATTTACATACGGGAGAGGTGAGGACTAAACGCGCTGTTTCAGAGCACGATGACTCCTCTCAGAGACTGCTGATAGAAATAAAGGATAATGGAGAACCGATCCAGTCCACCACAGTCACAGTGGATATACTGATAGAGGAAGGCGTTCATGAGACAATCTCGGATTATAGTATGAAAACTACAGAAAACAACAAAAAGAAAAACGGGAAAATAACTTTATATTTGATAATTTCGTTGGGAACAGTGTCACTTTTATCTGTTTTAACATTGTTCACGTTGATTGTGAAATGCGTTAGAAGCAGCATCGGAAGTTCAAGCTGCTGTGTCAGGCGAACCGATTCTGAATACAAGAACCCCAACAGAAACCTGCAGATACAGCTCAACACTGACGGGTCCATTAATTATGTGGAGGTTCTGGGAGGAGACATGATGTCTCAGAGTCAGTCCTTTGGCTCCTATCTCTCTCCAATGTCAGAATTCAGTGATCTCACCCTCATTAAGCCCAGCAGCACCACAAACTTTACAGACACACTAAACGTGCTTGATGCGTCATTACCAGACAGTGCGTGGACGTTTGAGAGCCAACAGGTGAGAATTTTGCTATATTCAGAGCTGTCAATTATATCTGAATACAAATATGTCTTTAAATCGCACTGTGTTTTGCGAGTTCACATGCATATTTATTTATTTTTTTATTCTACACGTATACTATTTGGGCAAAAAAAAAGAAGGAAAGGCAGCTTTGTGTTTTTGAGCGTGCGTGTCTTCATGTGGGCTAAAAGGTGATGAGAACAGTTAATTGAGCAAAGTTCAGCACCACAACTGTGGACAGCAACACGATGACAACGTTAATTGTTTGCTCAAATAGAGTGCAATTTACTTAAGTTGTTCAGATTTGAGATTCTTATCGGTCATTAGTGACCACAGCTAGTAAATTTGGAGATAATAATCGATTTAGTTTGCCTTTTTTTAGATTTCAACGCACCATTTTGTGGATGCATGACTATAATTTCTATAGAAAAAGAGTAACAGATGCTTTTTTATATTAAAAAGTCTTTTTTTTCGTGTAAATTCAGTTCAATATTCAGTATACACACACACACACACACAGACACACAGGTTTCCTTTTCTTGTGACAATACAGAACTAACAGCATAAAACATTTTCAGCAAAAAGGTGCATGTTCGCCTTTAAGAGAGACTCTGTCCTCTATTGGACAGCAGCGCACTGAGCTCAGCGCCAATGAGGTGCGAGACTATACAAAGGGATCTACTCCCTCCCTTAGCAAGAAAGGGCTACAATGAGTGATAGGAGCTGTAGAAGGAGAATAGACTCGCGGTTATGACGCTGATCACCACAAAACCGACCCCTCGATCCAAACGGATTTTCAATTTTAATGAAAGAAGAAAAATTAGGTTTTTGTCTGGATATATGCGAAGCACTCGTTGATGGAAACGTTCAAATTACTGTGGAAATGAGACGCATTCGAGTGTGGAAACAGGCAGCACTTTGGCTGTTTGTTTCTCTATTATGGAATACAGTTGGAGCTCAAATTCGATACACTATACCAGAAGAACTAAAGGAAGGATCTGTTGTTGGAAACATTGCAAGGGACAATGGTCTAGACATTTCTGACATCGCTAATCGTAAGTTACGGATAGCCTCCGATTCTATTACGCAGTATTTCAGTGTGGATACAAGGAACGGTGAGCTGATAGTTAATGGCAGAATAGACAGAGAGGCGCTCTGTGGACAAAGCGCCAGTTGTGTAATGCCATTACAACTGGTTATAGAGAATCCACTGCAGTTATATCGTGTTAATATAGAAATACAAGATATAAATGACAATGCACCGAATTTTCAGACAAAAGACAGCATTTTGAAAATAGCTGAATCAGTAGTTGTGGGCGCAAAATTTCCAATAGAAAGTGCCGAGGATTTAGATGTCGGTAGCAATAGTCTCAAATCCTATGCTTTGAGTAATAACGCATTTTTCCGTTTAAATGTGAAAACACTTGAAGATGGTAAGAAAGTACCAGAACTGATAGTTGATAAACAACTTGATCGGGAGAAACAGTCTGTACATAAGCTCATTTTAACAGCATTAGACGGTGGCGATCCTGTTAAATCGGGAACTATTTTAATAAAAGTAATAGTTCAAGACACTAATGACAATGAACCGAAATTTGAACAATCGCAATATAAAGCATCTGTGCAGGAGAGTACAACATTTGCTTCAAGCGTCTTAACCGTAAAGGCCACTGATTTGGATGAAGGTATTAATGGCGAAATTCAGTATTTTTTCGGTGTACGTACACCAGATAACGTGAGGAAATATTTTAATATCAACGCTGAAACCGGAGAAATTACAGTGATTGGAAAACTAGATTGCGAGTTAACAAAATTATACATCTTTGACGTCTGCGCTAAAGACAAAGGGAGCCCAGAGCAGGAGGGCCATTCTTCAGTGAGGCTGCATATTATTGATGAAAATGACAATATT